TTAAATCTTTTTAACCAGAAAGTAATCTTAGCCTAGCGCCGATCATATTGCTTTATTTTTGTTTGGGTATTTTACCTTTGTGCTGTACAAGTTTTTCTTGTATTAATGGTGTAGGGGAACTGATTTCGTTAAAATGTATACATGGGTACTGTTAACATAGGGTGCCTTTGTGCATGCTCGCGCCCCATGCAGTGTAAACAGTAGGGGCCTATCTACGCGTGCGTCCAGAGCACATCCAGACATGGGCCACAGATACAGTGGTTATATTTTAGCTCGCGCGCACAGGTCAGGGGTTGCACGTGAAGGAAAGTTTTTGGGACTAAAAAATAATAGTCTGTGGCGCTTCATGCGAGCGCGAAGAGTAGAGACCGGAAAACCAAACTGAAAAAGAAGTTGGGAGGAGGACCAATGAACGATAGGGCATGTGGGGCGCCGAGTATTTGTTTTTTTTTGGTGAATAAAACCATGGATAAAACACGCATCTCCTATTTTTCCTGATTTCGAGTCTGTGAATATATGAGTTGTTTGATCCCCGTGGACTTGGGCCACTCCAATAGTCTTAAAGCACACTCGGATACGTAGTATCCGTCAGAATTTTTCTGACAGACTTTGAAGGTGTACGTGGCACAATGCTTGGTCAAGGCGTTATAGTGGGCCAGCCAAAATGGAATATCACACTTAGTACGGCATTTTTTGGTAATAGCTGGCAACCATGTTAGATCAATCAGACATAGGGTGGGGAAGAAAATGTGGGTGGATGCCACCTTTGATTTTGACCCCAAAGGTCATTTTGAGGTCAAAGGTCAAATCAGGTGAAAATATATATTGTAATTGACTTTTTAAGTGCATGGGCCCTATTTTGTGGTTGCAGTTAAAGGGAAAATGACAAGAAAGGTACCTTTAAGCTGTAATTAGGATGAGAAAGAAAATTTGGGCACATCCGACCTTTGACCTTCAGGTCAAGGTCAAAGGTAAAATCGAAAGGCATACATCGTAAGTGATTTTTAAATTAAGTTTGGGACCTTATTTCATGCGTTTTTCAAGGAAATGTAATTGTACAAAAGAAGAAGTACATGCAAGCTATATTTTAAAACGAATACTCCTAACTTATTGTTCCAAACAATTACAGGCTTTTCATCGCTTTTCGTAGAGTTTAAACCTGGTTTATGATACACACGTGCAATTGTATTACTACGTACAACTGGAGATGCTCCTGAGAACCAGCGTTAAGAAATTTTCTAAAATATTGATCCTCAGTTTTTCATGGTACAGTACTGCAAGTGTTTTCCCATTAAAAATAATACCGATACAGATGCGTCTATCATTAAATTTGAAATGATAGATGGTTTTAACATTTTAGTAAGCAAATGAGTTTTCTGATTGGTTTCTTTTTGCCCATTCGCCCATTCGACCTAGTTACTGCCCTGATAGAGCTTCCCCCTATGTACCGATCAAACAACATATTAACTCTTGTCTTGTGCTCTTCAAAGTGACTCATGACACTTTTTACAAAGATGTCAGCATATTGACCAAATGTCTGACATCCACGAGGCTTTCCTTGAGACTGGATAAGTGCATGGCCATCTACAACAATGCATGTTTTCATATCAGAATGTGGAACATCTGGGGGGTGTCAAGGGTGATAAGATGCCTAACAACTCTGCTTTAGGGGTAGAGTTCATCACACCTGCAGACTTTGCCAGGGACAGAGGGATTAGAGAGCGTTCATGCTTGAGGACAGTTGCCATTTCCAAGGTTCGACCTGCAGTAACAGCATTAAACAGTCGCCGCAGTAGCTTTCTGTCATCTTTGATGCTCTTCTGTATATTCTCCTACGTAGCTACATTTGCTTTATAGAGATCAGCAAATGTTTTGGAGCGATGTTTCTTCATTGTATCGTGAAAACCCGCCGTTTTCTCAATCAGACGTTTCCTTGCATTTCTGGTAACACGTTCCTTTCCTCGTTCCGATCCTTTGCTTTGAGCAGGCCCCCGCTATGCCAGTGGTTGCTGAATCTCTGGTTGCCAGTGATACCAGAGGGATGTCTGATGTACTCAAATTCTGAACAGTGTCTTCAGGGACTATAGGTTTCCCTTTGAACACACCAAATTGCTTTAGTTCTTTGGAACTCTTGTAGCGCATTTGGTTTGATAGCTTTTGACCTCAGGATTCGTTTGCTCTCTAGAGACCCTGGAGTCTGTTGTGGAGCTGGTCCTGTGTGCAATGGAATGTGTTCTTTCCATATATCGTTGCTCCCAATACGTCAATGTTGTCACAGGAGCAGTGAATCATTCTCTTTTTTGTGATATTGTCTGGAAGGTAGACATTGCCATTCTTGACGAACCTCTCAAGAATGTTATGGGTCATGGTTGTGTCAATTCTTCGCACTGTGTGAATACCAATGGTATGGTTGGCAGCATGAAACAAGGCAACAAGTGCCTCAAAGCGGAATGCTTGGTGAAGTGCAAGACCCAAGCCAACATGCTTTGGTGTCAACTTTCGTCTATTGGAAACTGCGTATACAATGTGTTGGGCAATGCTGCACACATTTCGATTGATGGTGCTGTCTTCCCCAGTGCCTGAATGCACCACATCAATACCCCAAAAAGACAAGCGTAGAAACAGATACAGGCTGTTCGGTATTACCTCATCCACATGTTTTTGTTCAAGGTCTTTCCAGGTGTTGCAATGCCCAGGGGTGTCAAGTAGATCTTCTCTGATTCTAAGGGCCACACCATCTCTTGAAAGATATTGCCTTGTGCGATCCTTATCGTGGTGCCCTCTTCATCATCTGTAAATTCTGAATCTGAAGACAACACTCCTTGCTGATGGGACTTTGTAAAGGTCTTAGAAATGAAGAAGTCAGACTTCTCACCAGGATACCTGAGAAAAAACCCTGCCTTAAGGGTACGTACATAACTAGTCTGTTGTCCAATCAGAAGTTGAACCTTTTCATAGAAAGTTGTTCTCCGGGATAGATATCTTAGTGGGATTGAAGTACTCTTTCAGCACACATACTTTGGTATCTGTCCCATACATCGCTCATGCTGTAAACATGACCACGATAAGGATCGAGACAACCCTACACCCAAGTCTCGGTACAATTTCATCTTACATTCATCCTCCTTCGGCTCCTCTGGGTCACCAAATGATCTGACCTTTGAAGACCTTCTCTCAAATTCCCTCTACACCCTTCAGCTGCAATCAAGTCACTGATTTCTGAAAGTCTTATGTTCATTACAGGATCATTTTTGCTCAGTTTAATCAAGGCTGCCGACTTTTCTAGTGTCTGTAAACTGTGGACCTGTTTACTGCGTTGTTCTTGGCAAAACATGCAGAGCGTCCAATTGATTGCTGAACTTCGTCTAGTTGGTACTGAAGACACTTAACACTTAGCTGAGTCAGCATTTGTTGATGTATCCAAATGAGCCTGTAGTTGCTTTCTTAATCTGTCTAATTTGCCCTCAGAGCTGAATGTTGAATAACATGTTTTGTGCCATCTGATTTCTAGAACGATGAAGTCTTCCTCTGAGAAAGATGCTAGTCTTTAAAGTACATCCACATGTTTGGTGTCTTGTCTTTCAAGTACATCCACATATCTGGTGTCAGCAATTTTTTTTCGCTGCTAACCAACCTCACATGCTCTGGCTTCCCTTTGATGGATGCTACACGAAGTTCTCCGGCACTGCTTTGACAGAAAAAGCATGTCAACTTGTCAATGTCTTTATGTTGTCGCTTGTGTTTGATTGTACACACCGGATCCATGGTTGACAACAAAACTTGGGCGCTCACAAATTTTATAAATGTTTTTGTAAATAAAAACAACCAGAACTCCCATATTTACTGCAGAAGAGACTAAGATGGAAAGCTTGCGGTAACACCATGCAAGGATACGATCTCTTTTTGAGTCTGTATGATTCTGAAAAGAACCGTGAGGAACTCAACGTTTTGGACAGTATGCTCTGTCCGTCATCAGGAGACTAGAGAGATCCCACTTGATGGTGCGGTCTTCGGCGGTCTTCGGAATCCCTTCCAGTATCCACTGGAAGGGGCTCTTTTTAAGACTTTACCCATATGAGTTCAGAGTGATGTCTAGTCCCCTATTTCACTCTTTTGGATCTAGAGAAAACGCTTTTTACATGTATTATAATCTTTAATATGTTTAATACGTAACAGCAAGTAAAATTCGCATTATTAAAATTACCCAGCTTATCTATCGATCAAACATTTTAAAATATGAACTAATAGAATCTTTCTAGTATCCGTCTGTCCATGCAGTTACCAATTATTGTCAATAATACTCAGTTCTACTGGGATGTGTCCATTGTGTGGCTGCACATTTACGCGACTACTTAATGGCCGCAATGTTGGACACCCACTGACTTAATCTGTCCCACTAGAGGGGGGCAATAACAGCACCATAAACAATCAAACAGATGTGTTTATTAAACACAGTTTGTTTCAAGTCAGTAACACCTATGTAGGTCAGTAAATGTGGGTAATTTTTTTTCTTTTCTAAAGTAGTTCACTTGTAGGGAGCGGCACTGAAACAATCGAAAACCAAATTTTAAGAAAAGAGACCCTTTATGTTTCCTTTTGTAATGCATCTGTGCACAAAAACAAACGTTCAATCGGCAATTACATAAATTAGGGCCATCAAATGATATTGATGATGTAAGTGTAGGTGAAATTCGGGTCATAGCACAAATTTTGACCCGAGATGACCTTTCGTGACCCTAAAATGACCTTGAAATTCAAAATTGACCATGGTATCCCCCCACATCTTGTTTGTGATGACATAAATAATTGATTGAGCATAGTTGCCAGCCATTACCAAAAAATGCCGTGAAAAATATTTCTAGAGGACTTTTTCATATTTGGCTGGCCCACTACCTCTGCATGTACTATTGTCGGGGGTTCAGAGTTAAATACGTTATTCGTGTAAGGTGCAATGGAGTGCGCATGTTCAATTGAGTCCATCTCCCTGAGATAATCCTGGCCGTATTTTCGTCTCGCTTCGGGACGCCTCAGAGCTGCATAAAAACACAGAGCTGGGACAGTCGTTAGCTTGGGCAGTGACTACAGCAGAAACACATCATGAATGGGTAGGTCCAAGGGCTCTTCGTGTAAAATAGATCTGGAGCTGAGATCCCTTAATGAACACGTAAGGTCATTGAAGCCATCGGACAGCCATCTTACCGTGCCGAATACAAAGGTAATACGAAAGCTTGGTCACCATGATGAAATTCGTTATGGTATCATTAGTTATAATAGCAAGAAAGTCACAATGTTGTAGTCGAGTACTTTTATTCCGCGTACCTGAAAGTCTGAGTACTTTAACCAGCCGAGTACAAGCACTGATTTTCAAGTACGAGTACTTGTACCTCCAAGTATGAGAACGAGTACTTCTAGTTACGAGTACTTTAAGTCTTTGTAAATAGTCAAATTTAATGTGTCAAAATGTTTAAATGAATATGAACAATGGACCTACAAACTTTTTGCAACTGATCGTTTTTATAATCCGTCATAGAATTCCCAAACCAGTATGTTTAGGTAAAGTTGCAGATTATATTTAGTCCCAAAACTGTGACCATGTATTTTAGGGTCCCGCTTGGCAAAACATAGAAGTAGGCAAAGGTTCAATACCAGCTTAAACTCTATGTGATAGTAATGCCAACCAAAGTCATGTAAATAACATTCCAAAAATATACACATTGGAGTTGTGATTAATGATAGATCTCTGCGTATACGTAGCCATGTACAATGTTCAATACATGAACATGTACCAGTACGACTACGACTCGTGATGCAATATGCACGCACAACGCAAACACGTAAATGTGGAAGGGTAAAGTCTGCTTTCCAGACTTCGTATTCCTATTTGTATGCCTTTTTTTTGGATATTCTAGATTCTATTTGAGGTCTGCGAACAACTAAATTGAGTGTTGGGCATTAGACGCGTTTCGTGGTGCTGCGATCCGTTAATGCATGCAGTGTGCGTACGTGTGTACACGACTGCTACGTCCTGTGATAGTTCACGGAATAAACCAGCGTTTGGCCGTCGTAATTGGCTAAGACGGCGAATGTGTAGGCCTTGTGTTTGTTGGACCGTACCGGATACCGGTCTGCGAGGATCAATTTTCTTGTATTTCGGTGTATTTCAATGGCCGTTACGGGGATTTAAAGGAATTTTTATTGAGCACCGTTAATCTAGTACGAGTACCTCCGTGCTTGAGTACAATTTTAGGCCGAGTATTTTGCAGCCCGGGTATAAGTACCGTTGTTCGAGTGCGAATATTTGGAAATTTGATTTCTTGAAGTAAGACACTCTGAAAACGTACGAGTACTACAACACTGGAAAGCCAACCGTCGCCTTTGCATTCGGCATGGTAACATGACAGCCGTTGGCTTCATTCGTTACAAAGGCCCTGCGAGTCCATATTTTCACATATTTTTATTACTTTTTTTAATGCCGTGGTGGGTCCCCGTGCAACCACGTAATGGTATCATCGTCAAGTCACCTAAAAATTGATTATTTTTCGGTTATAGAGGCTTTACGTGGTAGCTACCTTGCAGGACAGTTCTTTTTATTCCACGGCGAAGCCTTCTTTGTGCATACCCTGTGGGAAAAAAACACTGACCTGTACGATGGTCGAAAGGCAAACCCTCTATAGTCAGTGGCGTCTGCAAAACAAGACTAGAAAGGGCACTGGGTCGAACATGATGCGAGTCCGTATGTCACGTTTACATGTTCCTGTTGAATACATGTATTCAACAGCAACATGCGTACGTTACACACAGGGCGCGTAAAGCACAACTAGCATCACATATACATTACACCGTTAACTAACAGACGAGCAAAAATGGCGGACAGCAAAATGGGCCTACTAGACGGGAACGAAACAGCCGAGGAGTTTTTGGCGTGCACGGAGCAGAAGCTGTTGGGAGGGATAGTGGGCATTGGGATCGCCATGGGTATGCAGACTGGTCTTTTTGATGTCATGATCTCGTTGAAAGGGGAACCTAAGACCAGCCATGAGATTGCAGATGCTGGTAACTTCAAAGAGAGGTATGTGCCAATACTAGACATGCTAGATGTAGTGCTCTCGTACTTAGAAGGTTTGAATTGCATTAATAGTGCTATGAGATGGTAATCAATTGATCCACTGTACAAAACGGCGCATGAAAGATTTCATATTTACCCTAGACCGTGTGTAACAAGGATGACGCCTGATTAGGCCTCATTAGATGCCTATGTTCTGCATTCAATTTTTCGGGAAAAGTGTATTTTTAGGATGATAATTACATTTCTTCAGGCTTACTCACAAACCACTCTTTAGTGCATATGTGATTGGATAATCCAAGGGTATATATCGGGAGCAAAAACCTGTTGCATTTTACTTGATATTTGCACACAGTTTAATTTTTCCTCAGAAATTATTGACTAGTTAAATCCCATGTTAGTTATTAAGTGTTGGCAAATCTCAACTTGTTCAAAATTTCTACTTAGGTCTACTAGCAAATTTCAACACAATAAACAAATTAAAAGAACTGTGAAAATTATATCGTACCTTACAGAATAGCAATTTGCTGAGAGGTAGCTAGGTGCTACCATGGCTATCCAAAGCACGGACGTATATAAATGAGAGGTTATCTGCCTGTTTGCCAACAGAACAGAGGGCTTTTTTGCAAGCTTTTGTACATTTGAACAACTGAGGCATCATCACATCAAGTCATTTTTCGTATATAACACCCCTCTTTTAAGTTATCCGCAAAGTTTCAACTTGAAAGAACGTGTACTTCAGGACACATAGGGCTTTAAAGAGTGTACCCTTAATGTCACACAACTTGTCTCCTGATGACGTCATCATCACATGAGGTCAATATCTCTCTAAAGCAACCTCTTTTCAAGATATCTGCAAGATTAGAATCCCATCTGACATCTACTTTAGGAGACATAGTGCCTTCACGGGACTTGTTTCCTGATGAAGTCTTTATCACATGAGGTCAAAATTCCTCTAAAGCACTCCCTTTTCAAGATATCTGCAAGATTTGAACCAAATTGGATATACATTAAACGATGTGTCATGAGCTGTTTCGTCATTGTTTCTGCTTGTCCGCAAAAATAAGACATAAAAAAAATCTCCGACCTTACCCCCTCCCTCAAAAAGTCCTGGATCCGCCCCTGGAATAAAGTCCGAGTCTACTACCAGTTCACCACCAATTTCATAGAGCTGCTTAAGCACAAAATTTGCTCAAGCGCAAGAGACCTTGCTTAAAAAACAAAGGTTACCAGCTCAAAACCTATGCGATTGTCACACTAGCCAAAAGACGGGTGAATACCGTTCCAAAACAATATACATCACATGGAGTTTTGCCTGGTAACCTGATTTGTCAAGCAAGACGTTTTCATGCTTAAGCAAATTTTGTGCTTAAGTAGGGCTATGAAATTGGTCCCCCTTGCAGGTTTTGAGCCAGAGAGGGGCATTCTTTGGTCTCTTTTTAATTATATATGTCTTTAAGTGGAGAGGGGTAGTTCCTGCCTGCTCTCTTCGGTGAATGCATTGCAGAAACCACTCCCCATATTCACCTGTAAGTACATATAAATTAATTAATTTGTTGTTGGTGTACTCTAAGGGATCTTGTAATCTCTGACTTCGATCATTTCCTTTACGTTGTATATTTTTTCAATACATGGCAACACATTATCTAATTGTAACCCTATTCCAGACCACATTTATAATTTTTTTTTGGAAAGTTTGTGTGCTGGACGTACAGTGTACCAATATCATTCATTTTTTTCTCTGGGCTAAGTGTCATGTTTCTTTAAATATGCACCTATAGGTGGATGAAAGAGAACGTGCTAATGTTAAGTAACTTTAGGGCCGGGAGATCATTAAAAATGACTTACAGACTTGACAGAATGTCTTGACAAAATCTTGTCAGGAGGTCACGTTGTGAAAAATCTTGATGTTAAGTATGCTCTAAGAATTTCCAACCACTTAAGGGAGATGTGTAAAGAGTCTCAACGTCATGTCATCGAGGGGTACGTGATATGAGCTGGGGTGTGTATTGTTTTTTTCTAGAGGACCAGTTTCAGTGGAAGGTATAAACAGTATGCACCAAACTTAAATTTCATTTGAAACTGGTCGATTGTGCTTGACATCATAGAAATTGGTTGATGTCACAGGTACGTGAGGGAATGGTTGGGGTGCATGACCAGTGCTAGGATCATCAGCTGTGACCCCAAGGGGGAGAAATTCTGGCTTCCTACCCACCGAGCAGGCATCATGGATCTGAAGCTGTTGGCTTTGACCCCGCCCATTCTCTGCGGAGGTTTCCATCAAGTCGCTGAATGCTTTAAACGGGACGGACCAACTGGTACGAGTACCCAAGTGAACTTAGAGAACCTTTAGTAGCGGTAGATACATGGGAGAACGAAGTTTGACTACAGACATATAACAGATAGACTTGCAACTCCATGAAACAAACGATGCCGAGATGTTTTGAGTGGCGGCACCAGACTACATCAAAGATCCTGGGCAAACGTATTCAGCCGTTAGCACTTTACACATTAATAAACATTTCAGTCTCTCAAATTTCTAAACAAAGTGTTATACATTTTTCTCTTTAGGCAAATTGGTTGCTTTTGAGTCATTACCTTTATGAATACAACTGTGCATCACGTTTGAAACTCTCGAAACCCCTCATAGGTTTCAAAAAGCCGTGCTAGTCGGCAGTGTTCATTTTGCTGATATGCGGCCAACTACTGACGTCTGTGTGTTTATACGCTTGTGGGCTGTACAGAACAGAACATCAAATATTATGGCGGTTTCCAGCGGTTAATTCATCGGGTCCACACATACTCGTATTTTACCATTTAGAGCATACCCTGCATAGTCTGCATCACGTTGTTACCGAGACTTCCGTTTTTCCTCAATATGTCTCTCGTAGTTTAATCAATAATCACAACCTCTATGCCATAAAATATTATCACTCATGCACCATTGGCAAGACAGTTTTATGAGGATTATTTAAAAACAGGAAGTAACAACGGGAGATTTCACACGAGATCGACAAAATGCGCAGAACATCTGAGCAGTCGTTCAGATCGGACAATCGCTGTTACCCTTATTGTATATAAAAGGTAACATCAATCAGAATGATGAATTCTGATGAAAGTTTGGCGTTAAATGGTAAGGTGTTTTTGGTGAATTTATGAAAGTAATAAGACGACCATTTTCTAGAAATCGATTTTAATCGTCCATTTATTTTTGTAGGTGTTTCATACAGCCACTATCCTAAATTCGACGAGCTAATGGGTATAATGCAAGGCCCGTTCTTCTGTGACAAACTTGTCCAGGTGGTGATTCCATCAATTCCACAGTTACTCCAGCAACTAAGTAAGTAGACTTTGTTGAATGCACTTACCCTCTTGTATGTTAGCCGCGAAGTGCCCTTGGCTTCATGTTTTTTTATAGAGGGCGCCATATGTTTTTTTAAAAGTTCTGTCCTCCGTGCTTGCAAGGTACATGCTCTTGGTAACTGGCCTCGATTCTTTTGTTGTTCTTTCCATGCGTTCTTTCTAATTCTTGTGTTTTCATTAACAGTGAGTTTTTGAGAAAAAGTTTAATTTTACCAATCAAATTTACTTAGAAAGTGCGTCGCGTTGAATTATCAGCATCGCCGATACTTTGCCCTTGTTCTTTGTTCCCATTGATATGAATTACGAAGATAACAGAGCTACACCTGTGACACACTAGCTTAGCTTACTAAACTAGTGACGTCTCTGAAAACCAACTGAACCAGGAAAGACGGATTATTAAATCCGATGTTACGTTGTCAGGTGGATAACATTTTTACTATGTAGTTTGTAAAAGTTAAATTGTTTTAATCAAAAAATAGGACCAATTATATGATGACATGCTTCACTGATTTTAAATGTATGTTCTCCTTTTCAAGTTCAGACAGCCTTACTGTAATGTCACCGTGGTTGTGTGGCACCTGCACGTATTTTCACTCAAGTCAAGCCATGGATCACCCACCGTACACTTTTTCCACACAAAAGTATACAACGGTAGACCTACACGAGATGGTTATAAGTTTATCACCTAATTTTTGTGTGGAATAATTTGGTCATATTTGTAAACCCCGGTGTCGGGATCTGGTCATAATATACTTGGCGGTGAAAGAGACTGAGGTACATGAACATATGACCACTATGGATTTTATAAAGTAACCGATGATGTGATGAATGTCGCCTAACTGGCTGACACGCAGTTAAGTCGCTCTCGTTGTTCTAGTTGTTTTAGTAATTTTTTATTAAGCTTTTACTATTAGTATCCTTGTTTCTCGTTTGTGTTTGTGATTGAGCGTCTTGTTGCTTTGATGAAATCTTTAAAACTTATATAATTGTTGATTCTACTGTCCTTTTTGTGGAATCCTCCGTTTTGAGTGCCTACAACATGTCAGCCATGTCACATTGCTAGCTGTCTTCGGAAGAATCAACTCTTCGGTTCTTAGTACTGATGTAAGTACAGTATCAACGATTCACATCCGTGCCCTGGTGCTCTAGCTATTATGGAACCGATGCAGTACTAATGATGTGCTTGACTGTGCGTTCCTGAGTTCTTCGGATTTCACCTAAATGGCGTAGTGTGTCGTCCATGATGGCCTTGGATCATGGTTGGTTGACTAGTTTCGAGTTATGTCTGCTATTTTTGAAAGGCCACACCTGTTGCTTCTACCATTGTTGAATGTCATACCTGAGTACTTGGCAATGCTGAATACTAGGCCAGTGATGAGTGCACTCCCCTTTGTTGTCTTCTTGGTGCTGATGATCGGTGCTAAACCCCATTTTCAAAGCCACCATGCCCATCAGTTCTATCGTCATGAATTGATATCGGCACGTATTACTGCTCCGTATTAATACGTCGGGGATACTGTGGAAAACGAGCCCCATATTATTCGAATTCAACAGCAACCGTCCAAACACTGATTCTTGTGTGTGGTGATGTCCAACCAAACCCTGGTCCAGACGCACAGGCACAAGATGGTCATCCTGTCCGTTATTATTACACTCATAGTCAATTCTACCTGATCGAGGAACAGTGCGATAAATTTAGAGTCATCCCAAACGTATGGTACCGTATCAAAGACCTCGGCATCAATTTAAAACTCAGTACTCATAGAAGTAAACGAGCTGGTCTCAGGAAACAGAAACATCAACTTTCGAAAGATAAGTCTACGATCCTCTGTGACAAGCAACAAATTCCTGTTCTCGTAAGACCAAGATTTGAAAGAATAGTCAACTTTCGTGGTCGTGAGTATTTAACTCAGTAGAGAAGATCGTAACGTTGACTCAAGACAATATTATTTGCCTAGATTCCTATTGTCAAATATGAGATCCTTGACTGCTAATTTTGATGAACTGTTATAGGAATAACTGAAAATTGGCTGTCTCCTGATACCCCAAAGCAATTGTATACCTTACAAAATTTTCTATGTTATCGAGGCCATGGTGTAATGGCCGCTCTGGTGGTGGGGAGGCGTTGTACGCTAAACATCTTTTTCAAGCCAAATTGTCATCAGTACAGATTCCTAATGGAATGGTATGGAATTCCATATCTGCCGTCGCCTGTCGTCCGTCGCATTTTGCTTTGTGTTGTGTCCCAATTTGCCATTTACCAGTTCCAAACATGCCATTTTCCGTCGTGCGTCGTCTGTCGTGCGTCGCCCGTCGTGCGTCGTCCGTCGTGCGTCGCCTGTCGTGCGTTGCCCGTCGTGCGTCGCCCATCAAATGGGTTGCATAGGACCTGCAAAAGCCGGGGTTTAACAAATGACAATTTGATGATTCCATTCACTTCTAAAGATCTTTTAGAATAAGTCAAGTACAAATCCCACCTGCAAAGCATATACTAGTCACATTAATTCCAATAATGCTAGACTACTCCTACCCCTTGACAAGAAAATATCGCTTCTCTGAGAATTCAACCAAGTGTTTTTTGGGTAAAAACATTTTCAGCAAAAATATTCCGGCCAACTTATCCACAGTGTTATTCTAATATGCATACTGTAAAAATGTGCCGACTTGTTTTCATCAAATTCCAGGAAGAAATCTGCCAACTGATACAGATATTCCATCTTNCGACGCACGACGGGCGACGCACGACGCACGACGGCAGATATGGAATTCCATAGAATGGAGATCCTGTGGTCAATAATGAAACCACCCCGACTGCCTCGCCAAATTTAAAATTAAAATAAAAATAAAAATAAAATTAGTCTGTATTGTGTACTATCCTCCTCCGAAAATTAGTGCACAAAATATATATCGATCATATTGCTTTCACTATTGAGTCGCTTTGTTGCAATATCCGGATGCTGGTATTTCTGTAGCAGGAGATTTCAATGATTTAAATATTCAGTCAATTCTGGATCATAATGATTTTGCACAAGTTGTTAATTGCCCTACTAGAGGTGGTAACATATTGGATAAGATCATAACTACTTACACCAATTTGTATACCGATATTGACGTCCATGCTCCACCCGTTATGAACGACCACAACTGCGTCCTTGGGTCCCCAATCAGGATATCCATTGTACTCAACGTAATGTTATGAACAAAACTTTCCGCCCTTTCAGGGACAGTGGGTTGAGACAATTCGTAAACTGGATAGCCCATCATACATGGCACGAGTGTTTTCATCATTTTCGTTTGGTTGCCGATAGGGTTAATGAATAATTTTGTTCGGTGGCTTCAGATTTACCTTACCTTGACTGGCGTACTTTACCAGCGTTCCTTCCAGTGAATCAGGATGACTTGCCAAAGACCCAACCTCATCAGGTATACCGTTAACTTAGAAGACTTAAACTTGGTAAGGCCGGTGTCTCTGATGATTTGTCAGTGCGTATTATACATGAGTTCGCGTATGAGTTGTGCTATCCGTTAATTCATATTTTGAATACCTCAATTAGAAGTGCTCGAGTGCCAAATCAGTGGTTGTTCTCTGAGATTGTGTCAATCCAAAGTCGCATCCTGCCACCTTAGATAACTTAAGACCTATCGCACTGACTAGCCACTTTGCGAAAATCGTTTATTGCAAAGTGGCTTTTGGAAGACTTAGAAATGAGTATAGACCAAAACCAATATGGGAATCGCCGCGGATTGTCGACTAAAAATTACCTTATTGGCTTACTTCATGAAATTTATACAAATGCAGAAAATCCTAAGGCAACGTATACAGTGGTCTTAACAGATTTCTCAAAGGCGTTTGATCGCATAGACCATAATATTATAGCTCATAAGTTATTTCAACTCAACGTAAGGCCTATTATTATTAGTTGGATTTTGAGTTTTTGGATTGTCGTCGTCAGTGCGTTAAATATTGCGGAACTAAGTCTGAATGGAGTACAATTCATCCCGGGGAACCTCAGGGTACGAAACTAGGGCCTATCCTATTTTCAGTAATGATTAATGATGCATGTACCGATTTATCGATTTCTGTCTTCAAGTATGTAGATGACCTAACCTTGGTAGATTGTCGGAGTCCCCACGCGGCCATCTGTTATTCAAGATGTATTCAATGATTTTGGGGATTGGTCTAATACC